CCACACAGTGTCTGGAGACAGTGGTTATTTTGGATCGTTATTATTCCGCACTTGCGGCAGATTTTAACGCAAAGCCCTAAAACGGTACCAAAGACCAAGGGGAAGACAATTCTTCTTTACCTACAACTACCACAACTCCAAATGATACTCATTTTCTCTTTTTCAATAAGTGTTTATGCTGCCAACTGTTAAAACTAATATTTCCAAATTTTTTTCCTTTATTAGATTTCAAACCGTAAAATTAAATCTGGTACCTGATTCAAAAAAGCCTGTTGCATTTCGGTCTGGTCAACATATTTGTCTTCCAAACCGTTACTAATCTCTATGCTTTCAGCTTCAACAACTCGTCGTACCGTCTTTGGCTTCCTCTTATTTGAGCCTGTCGGGTGGGGAACCTCACTTGCATTTGGCGAATCTGAAGCCATAATTTAACGTACAAAACTGTGCTAGAATAACAAACGATCTGCTAATTTAGAAGTCAAAAATTAGAAAGCAGAAAAATCACTGAAAGTAAAATTACCGTTTATGCCTCCATCAAGACCCGAATTTAATTTGTACAAGACATCTTCCAGTTTACTTCTTGGCGACGTTTTTGGTCCTTGAGCAATAAGACAATTTGTCTAAAGCAAAATGCAAACTTAATTAACTTTGGAAGGCGCTGCTGGCAAACACAATACGCTACGGTAAATTTGGCTGTACTTCAAGGAAACGTAGGCTAATTTGTTAAATCAGTTTTAAAAGAGCTAATACTTTCAATAAAAAAAAAAAAAAAGCAAGTACTGCAAACCATTGCTACTAAAGAACTTTAAAGTAACAGTAACGTTATTACTGTTCATCCCATAATCTCGTGCCAGAGGAATTAAAGATTGCGTAAAAAATCACACCGTCCTGATTGGATTCTCACAGACCTGTCTAAAGCACAAAGGCGCTAGTGAAACTCTAATGTAAAAAAAAAAAAAGGAATTACCACTGACTAATCAACTGCACACGTCAAAACCTTACCGCCATAGCCAACATTCACAAACACTACGGATGGCCACAATACTAAACTCCTCAGATCAGCTAACCACCACTGCGCAGGACAACAACAACTGATTGTCTAAAAGCCACGGTAGTGCTTTGAAAGTTAATTGCGGCTTTCATCCACCAACACAATCATTGCAGCACTCTACCTCTGGAAAGCAACTTCAACATGTTGAACGCGACTCGGCTTATTCGACGAGCATCTTCTAATTACCGCAGAACTCATGGATTATCAAGGAATTTTTGTAGAAATTATGCGCCTTTATACAACACTATAGTTATGTCCCTTTAGGAAAAAAAATACAAGTGACATTCTTTCAACCCGAACCAATTGCCTCAACCAAAGCAATTATTAATGGGTCGTCGTGAACAAAAAAAGTCTTAGTCCCTCATTTCAATAGAAAATTATGGCAACTTCAATTGTGAGCTTCCAGAAAACATTAAAAATTTATAACGCCAATCATTTCGTGACAATTTTGCCAAATGGACGTTGCATTTCCCTTCATGATTTACTTCATGTACACGTTAATCATTTTGATCAATTCGTATACTGTTCATGCACTAGAAAATCTCGAAACCAAAAAGTAAAAAGTTTATCGTATACAAAATTCCCATGTATACAAGCAGTAATGACGAATCTTTAAAATGCAACACGACTTTACGAGCGAGTTACTTGCTGCGGTTTGGTAAGACGAAAATCTTTGACATGACGTGCTCCTGTTATCCACCCAGTTTTTCAACGACTAACCTTCCTTCGAGCTTAACACCTTGCTATTTTTGAAAAAAAACAACGGTCCTGTGAATATTTTTGTCTTAAACTGAGAATAATATATAAATTTCCACACACACACACATACAAATAAAATTATACCATACTTCATACCTCAGTCTCGAAATCACACTGTGCGGTCATTCAAAAAAAGTGGATTACTCATAGCGACTAAGATTAATATTGACATCCAATATGTCGGATATTAAGTTCCTCAGAGTCATAATTAACAACAATCACTAACTAGGCATACGTTTAACTAATTGATGCACTTCGATGATCCCAAAAGTAAAACAGCTGTATTTCAACACGTTAATCACCGTCGGTAACATTCATTTAATTATATTTCTGTGCTTAAAAAGTGCTAACTTTCTTCCTCAATAAAATGTAAAGAAAACTATAAAAAATCTAATAACAGTTCACAGTACTGCGATAGCAAAAAGAAAACTAAAAAATTTTCTACGAAAATCTAAACATTAAAAAATAATATGTTTCCTTACCTGCTCTTGAAAAGACTCTAATAATGATTGTTGTTTTGCTTCATTGGCTAAAATTTGTTTTGAACGATGAAAATAGGTTTGTAATGTTGTAAATGGCACCTAAAATAATGTTGAAGTTCTTTACTCGCTTAATTATTAGTAGCATCGAAAAAAGAAAAAGAAAAAACGACATAGTTATTATTGGACCAGCGCAATTCATTTTGAGCTTATTTTACAGTATTATTTGAAAAGCGATTCCGACTCCCAAAAGCACCCGTAAGAAATCAGATAAATGGAACAAGGCGGTAGAAGGAGATCGACAGTATTACTAAGGTAGGAAAAAAGAAACAACAAAGCAAGGACATAATCAAAAAATAGGCCTTCTATAAATCTAAAAAGAAAAAATTAAGTTCAGGATTCAGTTCAAGTGATGAAATGACAACTAACTCCATGATGTTGTGATGACGACTTCATAGTTCGTCGTTTAAATAATGCATCTAATACAGCAATACGTAATCGTTCCTTACGTTCTTCTTCAGTATATTTACAACCCGTAATTGCTTCAGAAACTGCACGTTCAATATCTTCAAAACAAACAAAAAACAAACAACTAAGATTCCACCGGTGTTATTCAATGTACAGATAACGTTTTTAAAAATGTTTTAAAATACAAAAAATCTTTGACTAGACGGTTTAAAAAGCGGTTGAACAACAACAAACAGATCATCATGGTTCAACATCTCATCAAAGTAATGAAACACTAAACAGTAAGATAAGTGAAGTTAGAGATGAAACCATACCGGCCGGTTCATAATTTACATCATCTTCCAGTTTACGAACCGGACGACGTTTTTTTGCCAACGGTGAAGCTATTTCACTTCCATGCCAAAAATCTAACACTCTGAAAAAGAGAACAAAAAAAATGATACTAGCTGCTGTTTTGGTGCCTTTCCTGTTTGCCTCTTTCAAATTTCAAATTACACTTTCAAATTGTTTCAAGAGAATATTGAAAAGAACAAAAAAACGCAAATAAATAAAAAAACAGAAAACAGAAAAAAGAACTGTGAAATAAGTGAATAAAAACTTACAAATTCGCACTATTCGTGACATCAAAGTCCATTGCCACATTGAAAGCAATTTGTTGCAAACGTTTAATTCCGCTAACTATCAAACCAAAAAATCAACAAAGCAGTATAAATTATATAAATAATATATATATGTCCGGATTTTTTCCTTTTTTTTTTGTTGTTTTTGTTGGCGTTTGTTTATAAATATAATTTTTCTTCCGTTCTTCTTCTTCTTTTTGGAAGTTTGCTACAATAAAATCGACAATCCAATTTGTTTTCTCCGAATAAATCCTTTCTTTCCCCGTTGAACTTCCACTCCTTATCTAATGCTTCTTATTTGCTCCTTTTGTCTTTGCCGCTGTTTCTCTCTCAGTATTGTTGTCACAAAATAAAAAAAAGAAAACAGAAAAAAAAGGAAATATTTCTACTACTTCTATTCCACCGGTATAACGACGACCTGAAATAATTGAAAAACAATGACTGTTGGTTATACATTTTCAAGCGATATAAGATGTAAAAGTTCGAACAATAATTCAGGTACGCATTCTGTCGCCCAAAATGAAAACAGCAA